GAGGCTATTACCTGTCAAACCGAGGCCGTTACCTGAAAAAACCGTTTCAGATACTTTTTTTGCCCTGACAAGCGAAGTAATGATATATTTTTATCCGTGACAGCACAGCTTAAGTTTTCCCATCGCTCGAGCAACATATCTTTATGATTAGCTTTATCATCGCTGATCACAAACAGATATATGACACATTTCAGATTAGCTGATAAGTAACGGTAGCAGTCCCTGGCCGAATTTATTGAAGTTTGTCAAACTTTAAATTGTGACGGCGTGACCAACATAATCGGTTCTTTTTTCGAAAATAAAATCATATAAATACTTAAAAGCAATTCGCACATATTTCCCTGTGTCATAGCGTTACTTTCGTCAGCTTTTTTTACACTGTCCAAGATGTGTTTTCCTTCAAAAAATAACTATTTTGTGTATCTTGTGACGGTCGTGACATTAAAATATGCTTTTCTTCAATATATAATAAAATATTTAGTACTTGCACGAAAAATTTGAAAATTACGCCGTTACAATGCTAACGAATTTGTCTCTCCACTGACGGTTTAAACAATGCAAAAAAGGTAATAGACTACGAAAATTAGTCTTGTAAATTTTGAAAAACATTAACCTCTTATATGGGTTTGTAAATGGTACAACCTAAAGTAAAAAAATATCTGATTTTTAGATAAATTTGAGAATTTTGGCTTTCAGTCTTGAAAGTTGGATTTATTTACTATTACTTACTGGAAATAATGCAGTCATATTCCTTAGTTTATTTTCGTTTCATTCGGTATCGATTACCGTGGAATGAGCCACTTGCATTTATACTGTTTTTGTGAAAGAACAAACTATGTTTTCATAAAAAATTAAAAGAAGATTAAATAATAACAAAATTTATAGACAAAACTTCTGAATATTTGGGCGACGTATAATTGTGATTTGCGCTATATATTTATCTACTTGGAATCAATGTTTTAGATTTATTTGTTATCGATTTCGCGATGAAGCCTCGAACTCCGATAAGCGATACGCAATAAATCTCTTCTAGGTGAATACCGTATAGCAACACGAGCTCTTATTTGCGAATGAATAGGCGAATTATAGACTTATAGGTTTCTAGTTAACTCACTTATGTAGGATTTTGCAAGCAGAGCTGGGGACTTTATGATAACGATTACATTTCACTTAGGATGCTTAATTGTAATCCTTAAATTATATACGATAACGATTACTTTAATTGCACTTATAACATGCTTGATTGCGAATACTTTAATTCTAAGGATTAAATTTCAACGAAAGTACGGTTTCTGCATATTGAACCAAACCTTTTTATCCGAGGTCTCTTAACCTCCGTAATGTCAGGTTCGGAGTCAGTTGGACGTCAAATATGGAAAGATTTATTGAATAAAGATAAAAATTTATATACATAGGTTTTTGTTGTCGCTGAATCCGAATACTTATGGGGATCCCTTGATTCTTCTAGATCGTCCAGACGTCCGGCCAAGGTTATTTAGAAGTCAAATTAAAAATAATTGTTTTGAATTTTCAGGTTTATTCAATGAGTTTTTTCCTACCTAACCTTTAAATGACCACGAACCTGACGTTCGAACCTCGGATTCGCATTCAGCGCGTCGTAGAACATAGAGATACAGTTGTTTGGTTTAATATGTGGAAAATTTTTTTTGTAAGCCTATGTAATTATTATGGAATAACAAAAGAAAAAGTGTTTAGTTAAATGTTTTGCGTTTATTGTAATGTAAATAGTTACACTAATTTAATATGTAAGTGCTATTGTGATAAAAAAGATATGTATATGTATATGTATGTATAATTTCCAGTCATATGTAACTATGTCTAATTGTTGTGGGTATTATGTTTTGTTTTTTTTTTTTGCAATAAATCAGACTCCCTGATGAAGGCGTGAAGTACGCCGAAACGCGTAGGAGAAAGAGGAAACACAGTTTGCCTTTTTAATATACCGGCCGGAAAGCTCTACCAATGACCCAATAGGAAATTTTAACACTGGCCTCAAAAAACAATCAATAAGGACTTACATTGGTAGAATTATATCAATTTCTCCTCTGAAAATATATAGAGAATCTAAATTAATTAGTAAATAGTAGCGTTACAAGACGAAAATTGGTAATCGAAATTTATAGATCTAAGAGCAGAACAAACAAACGCCTTTCGAACGCGTTCAAGTCTTTTAATGTGGTCCCCATATAAGAGTAGCCCATTAGTAAGTAAAGTCACAACCTAGCCTTCGATTGAAGGCTAGTAGAGGATATGACTTTGCGTGCAATGATGTAATTTATTTGGCTGTGAAACAAAGATTCTGAGTAAAAAACAACTCCAGGGTCGGCGATTTCATTAAAAGTAGTTAGTCGTTAATTACCAATAAAATAGGAGGTATTTGAACTGTGAGCTCCGACATACGAAGCCACTTTTCTATTCGTTGAACTTAGCTGAGCTAAAACCCTGTTTACAACATTAGTTAGACCGATTCTGTAGTACGGTTCGGTGTTTTGGAATCCAAGGTATCAAATTTACTCAGACAAGATAGAATAAATTCAAAAACCATTTATAATTTTTGCTTTAAGAAATTTCCGTTGGGTTTCTCAATATAACCCTTATACGGCCTTATACGAGCCGATTAAAATTTATAAATCTTCCTACACTTGTCAGTCGCAGGGAAATGCTTGGTACAACTTTTATGGTTGAATTACTGACAGGCTCAGTTTCAAGTCCGCTTCTTATGGGTGAAGTTAGCCTTAATGTTCCCTCCCGTGTATCAAGGCAGTTGTATCCCCTATTTTTGAAAACTGGTAAAACTAATTTTCCGTTGCTTATGCCAGGATTTTGACTCTCATTCCAGCATATTTGATATACATATGTGACTTGCTTTTCAGCATTAAGAAAGCGATACTATCCTCTCTCAATAAAAGAATCATTAACACATACTACGTTTATGCGCACATATTGTTTGCAAATAATAATTTGCAAAATCGTAAACTTTGTCGTACAAACGCTGAGTTAATTTTTTTATTTGCAAATAACTAAATTACGCAAATAAGTTTCGATTAGTGGTACTAGTTGCAAATAAGCACAAGACGCCGCCATTCTTCAGTTTGTTTTCTTTTTCGATGGTCATGTTATTGCCTTTTTATAATCAAGACGTTGCCATTTTTAACTTTGTTTTTTTCGATGGTCATGTTATTATATTATAAGCAGGCAATATTAAAAAATAATTTTTCACCGTCGAATAAACAGTGAGTCAGGTATTTGCAAATTATTTTTATTTGCAGGTGACTTACGTATAAACGTAGTAATAAAGACATAAAATCAGCTGTTGAATTTAGTTCTGTAGCTGAACAGTTTTAGATCTCGACACTTAACAAACTCCTGCCTATCGTTGGGATTATTATTAAGTTAGCTCGCCGCAATTTAAATTTTTATTTTTAAAGCCTACTAAAGAAATGCGAAAAAAGGCAACAAGTTTGCAAAAAAATATGCTTAAAATAGCGTAAGGCTGTAAAAGGGGTGTACTTTTAAAATCAGAACCACGGTATTAAGTCCTTATGGACATGGCATCTTTGTAGGCATGTAAGCCAGCATTTCGCTTTGTTCTGCGGATCTAATTTGATTTGGTGATGCTAATTAGAACAATTTACTACCTACTGTTTGAGGTCCAATAAACTTTAGAAATCGCAAAATGTTACTCTGAGGCTCAAAGTAGTTATAATTATTAATTGATATTCCAACTCTGTTGTTCCCAAACAGGGTGCTGAGCGAAGTCCTTCTAAGGTATGATATCGGAAAAGAACAGGTTTCTGTATACAAAGAGCAAAGCCATAGCTCGTCAAAAACATTAACGCAAATCTTCAACTACGGGCGAGACCCCTTGCCAAACCGTTTAATCTCATGTCCTTTAGTTCCTTACAATAAAAATTTATTGTTTCACCATTAAAACTTCTCAACTGAGACCTAATTATCACCTGCATTGCCTTTGTTTATAAAGTTCACTAGGAATTGCTATCAAGGTGTTCTGTTAGACCCCATTAGACCAGGCTAATGGCACTTTAACCTACCATCATTATATGTATGTTGGTCAGGGAAGCCAACTCGTGGGGAATAACGCGTACATGTCCATAATTAAATTACTCCAGTAGGCTTTGCTGCAGAACTATATTTCAAATTTCCTTTCGAAAGCAACTACCTTGTTCCTTACTTCTCTGGGGAAGTGGTATCCTGGGACCTGGGTTCTTAACATTTCCATACTCGTGTTTAATAATACCTTTCCTCTGCCAAAGCCATATCTGGAAAAGTCTAAGAGAGTACGCTGGGCTGTCCGATCTATGGCTCGTGGTCTAGAATCACCACTGGTGCTCTCGTCGGACATATGCGCATCATAATGCATACACAGGCCAAGCGACTGCCCATAAGTATGTGTAAGTAGACCAATTAAATATCCACTCAAGTATCATAATGTATTTTACACATGTGTATGAATATACTTAAATAAAAAACTCATTTAGTAAAACTAGTTCGAGGGTCATATTTATTTAAAAAGTATGTCACATATACATAAGTAGATAAATGAAAAATAATAAATAAGATATTTAGCAATCAACTTACACGCCACTCTTAGATATACTTTAAGATCGTTTCAATATATATATATAAATATCTATATGTATAAAGCCACAGCGACTTCCTCTATATATGTGTGTATATAATCTTCACAAAGCGTTTATTAACATGGTGAAACATTGTGCTTTCAAGAGTCCAGTTGATCACTCGAACATATGCCATTTATATGTATGTATGTACTTCAAATTTACGATGGGTTTATATATGTATGTACATATTTATGATATGCGCGTATATAATCAAATAAGTATGTAGCAGCGTCTTTGAAACAATCGACATCTGAAGCATTTCTAATCAAACCCTACGGTCATAAAAACCTACACTTACAAATTAACTTATGACTAACTTAGCAATCTTAAAAGGCTATTCCTCCGTTCGGAGCTGAACATTTTGTTAATTGTGTTGCGGCCGCTTAGCTGATCGTGCAATGTACCGCAACAAAATGAACGTGAGTGTTGCAGTCCTTTTGGCCACTTCATTGGCCTTCATTGTATCCTGTGAAGCGGCAACACACGGCATTCCACCACTCTTTGGAGAGAATCCTTCCGCACGCATCGTAGATGGGAAAATTGTTGCCTCCGGTGCAGCGCGTGCAGTCCTGGACTATCGGCTGCCGAACACAACTGAACCTGTGCACTACGACGTCGAAGTGACTACGAATGTACACAATGGCACAACGGCATTCAATGGTACAGTTAAAATTCAAATAAACGTTAACGAAGATACAAGAACAATAGTTTTGCATGCGCGTCAGCTAAGTAATTTCACGGCAACTATTTCAAACGCTTCGGTAACGGGAGGACAAGTTCAAGCGTTAAATATCTCATATGAAGAGGAACGAGAATTTCTCAGTTTGACGCCAACGAACCAATCGTTAACGTTCAATAAAGGCAGCAGCTGGCTTCTGACCATCGCCTATCAAGGTGAATTGCGTACTGATAACGGTGGATTTTACTTGTCCACCTACGATGATGACAACGGCACGGAACGGTGAGTGCACACTGGTTTTATATCGCAGGCATTTTTTTTTTTTTATATGCAGAATTTCGAATATTCCGTACCTTCAGGTATATAGCAACGACGCAATTCGAGTCGACCGATGCGCGCCATGCCTTCCCTTGCTACGACGAGCCAGCCAAGCGTGCAACATTCTCCATCGTTATTAATCATGATCCCTCATATAATGCCATATCGAATATGCCTTTGGACGAGGAGGCGAGCAGGTAGAGTGCATTATTATCTTTTGAAAACAAAAAAATGTAAAGCAATGACATGTTCCTTTTTTCTCATTTAGACCCGGCTACTCTGTCTTCCAGAAGACGGTTAATATGCCCACTTACTTGGTAGCGTTTATTGTGTCCGATTTTGAATATTCAGAAGGTGTACTGTATTCACGCCCACAACGTGTCTACACACGACCAGGCACTGTAAGCGGTCAGGAATTCGGTTTGGTTTCCGGTTTGTTGCTGCTGCAGCGACTTATCGAATACTATGATGTGGATTTCGCACTACCAAAAATGTATCAAGTAGGCGTGCCAGATTTTGCAGCTGGTGCCATGGAAAACTGGGGTTTAGTTACATATCGCGAAGAATATATAATATATAATAAGAACACATCCACAACTAGTACACAAACAAATATTGCCACAATCATCGCACACGAATACTGTCATCAGTGGTTTGGTAATTTGGTAGCCATTAAATGGTGGACGTACCTTTGGCTTAAGGAAGGTTTTGCCACCTTGTTCTCCTGGCAGGCAACCGATGCGGTAAGCGCTTGAAAGGGATATTTTACTAGCTTAAGGCTGCTTTTATTTCCAATTTTGTTTTCTTTACTCCTACTAGGCCTATCCTGAATGGGATATCTATCAGTTGTTCCTCACCGATGACTATCAACGGGCACTTACCGCCGATGGTACAGGTCTAATGAATCCAATGAGTCATTATGTGCAAACGCCATCTGAGATCTCCAGCCGCTATGATTCTATTTCGTACTCGAAAGCCGGCTCGGTGCTGTATATGTGGCAGTGTGCGTTGGGCGACGAAGTATTCCGCCAGGGATTAAACCTTTATTTGACTGAAAAGTAAGTTTATATACAGAGGAATCTATGCAAAGATTTGTTAAATTGTTTTTGGGTTTTAACATAATTTAGCTCCTTTTGGGTTTGTATTATCACTGCAGAAATTGGTTAGGATCAGATACTATCAGTGAATTTTATTCAGGGAACGAAAATAATCATTAATATGAAGGATTTTTATTTTCAAATCATTGCAAAATCCTTATTTTTTATTAATAGCTCGGCGATCATTTTAATCGTTATTTTCCGATATTTTTTTCGATTAAAAATAACCGTTATTAAAATCATAGATTTTTCGGATAAAAATAATCTATATTCTTGGACTTTCTTTCTATCATTTTATAACTATTTTCAGATTTCATTTTTTTGATCACATAAGATTTAAATCGTTAATAAAACCCCGATGTCTATTATAACGGTAAAGAATGATCGAAAATAGTAAAAGTCCAAAAAACGGTTATTTCTGATCGAAAATAATTAAATCCACAAACTAATTATTAAATTATGATTTTTATTATAAAAATCAGAACGGTTACGGTCCCTGATTTTACTAAATTTTAATGGATTCGAGTCCACCTATCTCCTTTAAGAAATCTCTAGCGAGAAAAGGGCTTATAGCTAGCAAACGTAGAGTAATCTTAAATTATGATATATCCATGCTTTATTCTCGAGAAAACACTTTTTTGTGTTTCAAAATTCATTGATCTCAGTTCTTATCACCCTAACGTACACCCTAATGTCAGAAAATTAAAACTCTCCCAAAGTCATTAAACTTTTGCCAAGAAAGTATTTCCATTATTCCAGTAGAACTATTTAAAAATATATATATATTAAATAATGTACGTAGGTTTCAAAGAAAAATGTAAAAAGGTACCCCGTAGGTTCATCAAAAAAAAATTCCCTAAGTTGCCTTACAAAACTACTTTAGACGCGAAGGTGCACGGCATATTATTTTCCTGTAAGTGTGTGCGGTCTAAGTGGAAGACTAAAAATGACTTCTTATAAAAAGGCTTGAGAGAAATGAACTACAAAGAATGTTAGGTGAATAGGGTTAGCTTGGAGCTGACGGTTAGTAAAACCACAATTTTAGTTAGCTTAAAAAGTTTTCTTTAAAATCAAATTAAATTTTTATGTCAAAGACTTTTTTCATTACTTCTGCTTTGCATTTTCCTACAGTCAATACAGTGCTGCTGATGAATGGCAGCTCTTCGAGGCTCTTAGTATTGCAGCCGGTGCACAAAATGTTCCGCTTCCAGCGACAATGGCCAATATGTTCTCAAGTTGGTCGCAACAATCTAGTTACCCACTTCTCACCGTTACACGTCATTATGAAAATAACTCATTCACCGTTACACAAGAAGCTTTCTACGATAATAGCACCACAACATCGAACCAGACTTGGTACATTCCAATTAATTATGCACATAAATCAAATCCAGACCACCGTAACACTACCGCCTCGCATTATTTGTTGAAGACAAAAGAAATTCATATCACCGACAACAATTTAGCCGCTGATGATTGGCTGTTGCTCAATAAACAGTCCACCGGTTTCTATCGCATCAATTATGATGAACGTAACTGGAACCTAATTATTGATGCGCTCAAATCCAATCCTTACAGGTTTCATCCACGCAATCGTGGTCAGCTTATTCATGATGTCTATAAGTTCAGTTCAACAGGACGTCTCGACCAAAGTACACTCTTCAATTTGCTACAATATCTGCCTAATGAAGATCAATTTGCTCCTTGGTCTACGACTTATTCGGTGATCAACACATTAAACAGATATCTGAATGGGGATAGTGATTATAAAAATTTCCAAAGTTTCGTAGCCTCTTTAGTATCAGACCTCTTCGATAAGTTGGGTGTGAATGATGCAACTGGCGAGCAACATCTGGTGAAATCTATACGCAGTATCGCCATTAACCTCGCCTGTTTGTCAGGCATTGAAAGTTGTCTAGAGGAGACGAACAACAAATTAAGGGCGCTCATTGAAGACGGCATCGCAATCGAACCAAATCTACAATCGCAAATATATTGCAATGGTCTACGTCAGTCCGATGATACAGTATTCGATTTCGTTTTTAACCAGGTATTGCAGTCCAATAATCAGGCATTCCGTCGCACACACATCACTTCATTGGGCTGCTCGCAGTCGGAGTCCCAATTGCGAAAATTCGTAAACAGCTCAATTGATACTTCAGCCGATTGGCGTACTCAAGAGCGCATCACTTTACTCAGTGCAGCGTACTCGAGCAGCAGTACCGGATTGCTGGTAAGCATTGATTTCCTCAGCGACAATTGGGAAGCATATAGTAATTTGAATCCCGGTTTCGGTGGAGATAATCCACTCAATACAGCCGTGGTTGCCATGTCCAGCTATGTAGTTAATGAAGAGCAAAGACAAAAAGTGAGTAAGACGTTGTATAGCAACTTTTTTGAACCAAAATCAATATTTTAATATACAACTTGTTTTAAATTTCTACAGTATTTGGATTTGGTGGATAAGGTGAAGGACAGCGATAAGGTGCAATCTAATTTGGAGTCTGTCGTCAATACGAACATTAGATCAAACTTTGAATGGTTGACCAGAAATCGTGATCCGATCATGCAGTGGGTGAACAACTTCACGCGAAGTGGCAGTGCCGCACTTAGTGCTTCATTGTTAACCGTCTTTACCACGCTGACGGTTGCATTGGCGCGTTACTTGTAGAACTTGAGCTTAATAGCCTTTTAGCTCTTACCAATTGTGATGTGATAAATTTTTGGTGGAACATTTTATATAACAAAATTGAAGTAGAATAAAACAAAAAAAAAAACATAAAAACTATTACAAAGTAACTTAATGCCGATGGAATGAAGTCCCTGCCCTTTTACGCAAACTTCTCAGCTCTAAGAGGGGTGGGCTTTATGTTCGCCTCGAGCTATGGGCACACCTTTATTCTAAAAAGCTTCGAGTTACTGCCGATTCGAAGAGGCCACTGCACGCCGCTTGTGGGTCCGAGAGGATCTTTAACCACCTGTGGGTTCTGTAAACATATTTAGGTATCTGCAAAAGAGGAGGCTTCAGGTTGGTTGTTCTCTAGTGTAACACATTTTAAAGAGGTTAAAATCTATTCCGACAGCCAAGCAGCTATCAAGGCTCTTAGGTCCTTGTTGGTTCGTTTGAAACGGTTAGCGATTGTTCGACTTTCTTATCGACTGCATCGGGTAATTACGCTATTAAACTCATTTGGGTTTCGGCTCATAGCGAAATTTCGGATAACTGCATGGTCGATGAGCTGGCAAGGCAGGGAACCCTTGACGAATTGTTCCCGGTAAGAGGAAGTCTGGGTGCTCCTCTGACCTTATGCGGTCTACTTCTGGACAGAGGGGCGATAAATCGGCTTAGCGTGCGGTAAGCGAAGACCTTGGCATGTAAGGTGACTAAATCCATTCAGCCACGTGCAGATCGGGGGCGGCCAAGGAAGCTCTTGAGACTCAGCAAGTTATATCTCTCACTACTGGTGGGAGTTCTAACTGATCATTGCGTAATAGATACGACTGAAGTAAGACTGAATATCATCGATGACCCTTAGTGCAACAGGTCCACGGAGGATGGGGCGGTAGAATCAACTTAACACCTGCTGCTCTGGAGCACGTCGGCTCGCATTTCTTCCACACTCCCGTTGAGCTTTCGCGTGTGAAGCTTCGTGGTGAGCACGGTCATCGTCCTGTTCCTTCCCCCTCTGTTTCTACCCTTTTGGTAGCACGTTCCGAAAAATCCTACTAGAAAATTATATGTGCCGCTGTTAATACATAATAATTAATAGTAAATATGTACACCGGGTAATTTTATAAAACATTTTCGTTATGCGATAGTTGAAAATTTTACTATTCCGCCACTCGAAAACGACAAATTGGCTTATCTCTGTAGCAAAGGTAATAAAGACTTACCCTTTATTATCTTCTGATATTTTTATTACAGCTACATAGTTCGCTTGCGATTTTTACCTGATTGTGAAATTAATGCAACATCGACACGTTTGCCAATAATATCTAATAATAATAATTTATAATTCCTTATCGGAAATATTGATAACAACTAGTATCCCAATCTAGTTATTAAAGAAATAATATTTGTGTTATTTGCCACACGTGACCAATTTTAACACATATATAAGCCGATTCTTAGAAATGTGAATGGTTACTTACGACATGGATTTCTTTTATGCCCTATAATGTGTCTCAGCAGGTACAGTTTCGCCAAATCTCTGCAAAATTTATATAATTATATGTATAAGTGCATGTATGTACAGTGTACATAAGTTAAGGGTTAAGGGTTAAGGGTATCCGAAATATCCCAAAAAAAAATCAAATATACAAACAGAAATATACAAAAGAAAAAAAGAAAAAAGAGTTTAAATTAAAAAACGTTTAAATAAACAATTGGGCATTATTCTCTGAAGTCCTCTGACGAGAAGCAGAGTTTTCAGATTGAAAAATTTTGATTTTCATGGATTCTATGCCATTTCTACGAAAAGTATTTTTTCCCCATACAAAATACATGGGAAACTTTGAGCGCTTTGAGCGACCTCTAAATATATTTTGATTTTAAAATAAAAAAACAGGGGTAAACTTTTTTCGGTATAGAACAATCCTAGGGGTGAGAGCATTAAATTTCCGATTTTACTTTTCTCCCATACATTTTTGGACCACCCTAATGTACACATGTAGGGAGTAAATACATCCTTCCTTGTTATGCATATCCCTTTCAGCCCTACGTGCAGCTTACATTTTTTTTTAATTTTCTAATCCAATTGTCACAATATCAGAAATACTGCAAGTTTATTTTAGTTGGGTAGATGCAAAAAATACCACTATAAATGTGATCCATTATTAAAACTTTACACAAAATCACACACTTCCACAAAGAGAGGTTTCTCAAAAAACATAGAAAATCAACTAAAATATTTTTGGGTTTCAGTAAGATTATAAATTGATTTCTGGACACTGTCACATCCGACAGTCACAACCATCGATAGGTTTGATACTATCGAAAATGTCGACACTATCGATAGTTTTGATTGAAAAAGTCCAAAAGTTAAATATAACAACTTTTATTGAAATTGAGATCAGAATTGCTAAAATATGTCGATATTTTTGTTAAGGAACAAAAGTTTATCAACGATTTTTGGCTCCAAGCAGCACCTGCGCTCTGAAATATGTATGTTACTGAATAATGTATGTATGAGTGAAAACTATTGATAGTGATTATAAAACCATCGATGATTTCGATAGTCAAAAACCATCGATGCTATCGATAGTGCCATCGATACTATCGATAGTGCCATCGATAGAAGTCACTCTGTGCATCGCGCAATTTGACTCATTCGCTTTGTCCTAGTTCACCAACAGACCCCGCCTATACTGTTAGTTCGAGGCAGAAAAATAAGCGTCCCTCCTTTTGAGACTGATAATATCGATGTCATGGCTATACTCTAGCGATTGTACGTTTTTAAAGGAAGTGCTACCTGAACGGTTCAGTACTGCAGCTCTATAATCTTCTCACTGTTTTATGTATATTAAACGGCTCGTAGAGGTCCTTCCCAATTCTGATGCAGTGGGAGTATTGCTGAGGCAGAGATATTCAATTCAGGCCTTATGGCGATAATTAAATAAGGTGTGTAAGGAATTTACAACTTACACAACTTTACAGAGTACACTCAATTCCAATCGGCAAGCATGCTTTAGTCCCACCATATTTTACAGCTCATCGCCATCGCTCAGCTGACAGACCAACGCCTCCTCTTCTACTCGAATTTCGTAATTTTCGAGAAACGGAACTCAAATTTTATCATCATCGAATGGAGGGTGCGAGTCGTCGTGTTCACGGGAAGCATTAAAGAAGTATTTCCTGTATAACTCAAGTGTGCTGTGAATATCAGCAACCAGCTCTCAGATCGCCTTTTTACAGAAATCTACCCCGGTCTTAAAACATTTAGTAAGTGCTATGCACGATCTGGTATAATATTTCCAGTACAAGTTTTTACTATAAATTCACTCTTCGATAAGTAAGTAATAAAACTATATATTTGCGTTATTTCCTCAAAAAATGGAGTATATGCCAATCGAATTTCACAAAAAAGCATCAAATATTTTCTTCGTATGCCTTGAGTCACCCTACTGTATATAGCATACATACGTAAGCGCGAATAGTTACTGCAAGCAATTTGTCTCATTCATAAATTACAATTCTTTATGTCAAAGGGATTAAATATATGGCCACACGACATATGTATATATGTATCTGGAAAGAAACCACCCTGCAAAAAATTGTGAGACTAATCTCTAATGAGCTTCTTCCGATACTACTCTCAATCGCATAAATTAGTCGCAACTAGTCTCATGCGGGTATAATTGGAGATCAATTAGTCTCGACTCATCCCTTACGTATATAATTGAAGATCAATTATCAATCCCCGACTTATCGCTAACGGGTACTATTAACGATTTAATGACATACCTACTCAATGAAATTTTATGTGCGGCGTTGGCACAAAGAGAGAGTATTCGCTTAACAAAACTGTTAACCCCGGTCGAATCGCAGCTAGCGCAAATATTTATTTTCATATTTTAAAATTGAGTAGTCGCTTTTTATACCCTTCCGGATTAGTCCCATTTTGTGCAGGGCAATTAAACTTTAGACAATAAATTTATTGCTCTATAAGGTATTACAGAACTGCTTTAGGAGCAGTGCAAGTGCAAAGTACATCTAAACATCACCACTAGAGTGGTCCAATTTTTGTGTGGGGGAAAAAATGTCATCCCCCATATTTATAATATCTATAACAATTTAAATTTTCCACTGTAACCAATACATGGTGCTCAATAGCCTTGAAATGCGCTACTGGATAGCTGTGAAACTGGTTGCCGTGACAATTGAAGGTTCTGATATTTTTTTAGAGAGTTTAAATTTGAAATTTTCTTAAGTTGCTTAACTAGTGGTTTGATTAATATATGCAAAAAAATACTTCTAGTATAAAATATGAGAATCATGAGCATCCTATAAATTTATACTTAGAAACGTAAAGTTTGGTACTAGCACCTCGTTTGGCAAGAGGAAAAATTTTTGAAGGTGCCCCAAACCCTATCTCGGAAAAAAATTGTTTGGGCCACTCTAATCATGTAAGAATTTTGGCATTTAAAATAGCGGATCCAATATGGCGAACCACTTTTATAATTTTTTCGTTTTCACGACAAACTGATATACATAAATGGGGAGTTTTCGAGGTCGCTGATTTCGAATCTAGTCATAAATTGGCGACCAAATTTTATAATTTTTTATTTTTCACCAAAAACTTATATATAAGGAGGGTTTTTAATTTCAATAATTTTAATTCTGATGTCGATTTTTGAAATTCAAAATGGCGAATTCAATACGGCGTTATCGGAAAAAAATGTTGTTTAAAAATTTTTTCAGTTTTTGCTAAATACATATATGTATATTTCTAATTATAGCTGCTTCAAATAAAATCTTTTCCCTTTATATATAATGCTGTTTTCGCTTCTACTGAAAAACGTTACCTTTTCATTGCCCTCTCAGCACAATCAATAAAAACTGGGCAATGAAAAGGCAACATTTTTTACCATGCTAGTCCTCATGGGAGAAAAGCAGGATGGCAAGGCACTGCATGGCAACACAGTTGCCATACTGATTTAGGGCCGGTTTTTCAATGTCTGGTTATCACTACTTTCCCGGTTAAACATCATTACCGACGTTTTCGACATCATGCATACAACATGTGATCGATAAAGCAGTCGTTGT